GCTCAATGGTCTCCCTGCTGGTCCCCAAGGTTTACTGTTTCCTCCCAGGAGGGACTGGAGGGAAGACAGTGGAAATGCAGTGTCCAAACAAGATCAAGAACAGCCTCTCCTATCACCTCTCTTCTGTACCTTCTCTCTGCCTCAGTGGATATTTCCAGCCACCCATGAGATAGCTATTTATCCCATTTATCAACCTTTCTTCTGGAGGAAGAAACTTTAGGACAGAGGTGATGAGGGACTCGCCCAGAGTCACTCATACAATAAAAGAGTGACTGTCCAGATTCCAACCTGGGTCTGTTCAACCTGAGCTCTTAAACCCCTCGGAGTCCTGCCTTCAGAGTCTTTCACTTATTCAACAAATGTCTTTGGGGGATTTACTGTAGGTCAGATGTTGGTGCTGGGGATAAAGCTGTGTGCAAAACAAGTGAGACTGACTGCCCTCGTGGAGCTTATATTTTAGTTTGCAAGGTGTGGGATGGGGCTGGGAGGAAGGGTGGATAAAGAAAGAAATAATTAAAATATATGGTATTTTATTTATGTTAAGTGTTATGGGAAAAGAATAATCATAGAGAATCAGAGCATAGAGAATATCAAGGGTAGGGAAGGGATAGAAAGGGGGCTCAATTTTGCCTAGGGTAATTAAGGAAGGCTCATTGCAAAGACTGTAATTTAAGCAAACAACCAAAGGAGGAAGAGTACAAAGAGGGTAAAAGTTTGGCAAGTTAGCAGTGTCCCCCTCCCCCAGTTTTATTGGGGTATAATTGACATGTAACAAATTGCACAGTGAGGAATTAACTACAATTATTCAGACACAAGATAATGGTAGCTGGGATCAGAATGGTCATAGTAATGGTAATGAGAAGACGTCAAGTTCTGGATTTATTCTGAAGGTAGAACCAATGGGATCTGCTGACAAATCAGATGTGGAGGTGAGAAACAGAGAGGAGGCAAGGGTTAACCAAGGATTGCTCCCAGTTTTTTATTTTTTTGTTTTTGTTTTTGTTTTTTTGGCCTGAGTCCCTGGGAGGACAGAGTTGCCAGTTACTGAAATGGGGAAGAATGGGTAAAGAGTATATTTGGAGGGAGGAGTGAAATAATAAGTTTAGTGGCGGTATGTTAAGTTTGACATGCCCGTTACACATCCAAATGCAGATGCTGAGTAGACACTTTGATGTACAAGGCTGGGGTAGAGAAGGGAGCATGTTTGTTTTACAGCTTTATTAAGGAACACTTGACATACAACAAACTGCACATATTTAAATATTAAACAGTGTATGACTTGATAAGTTTTGAAATTTTAATTTTGTTTAAAATTTAAAGCACTGATGAAAGAAACCATGTCCATCAACAGAAGAATAGATAAGCAAAATGTGGTGTATATATATACATACACACATACATATATATATACACAATGGAATGTTATTAAAAATGAAGGAAAAAAGGAAGGAAATGTTGACACATGCTACATATGGATGAACCTTGAGAAGCCTATGCTAAGTGAAAAAAACAGTCACAAAAAGACAAATACGTATGATTCCATTTATCTGAGGAATTTAGGGAAGTCACATTCAAAGAGGCAGAAAGCAGAATGGTGGCTGGCAGAGGCTAGGGGAAGCAGAGAATGGTGAGTTATTGTTTAACGGGTACAGAGTTTCAGTTTTCAACATGACAAAGTTAGGGAGATTGGTTGTACAACAGTGTGCATATACTTGACAGTAATGCACTGTACACTTAGAAATGGTTTAGGTGGTCAATTTTATGTTATTTTATGTCTTTTACCACAATTTTAAAAATGTGAAGCAGTGAAACAGTGTAAACAACAAGGTGTCATATTTTTGTTTTTGGTAAGTGCAAATTTTAGTTCATGTATGTAGCATGTTACTACACTTGAATAATATCTTTAAGAATGAAATTTATTATTTGTGTTAGTTCTGGTCCTCCAGCCAAGATGGAATTAGATATGAAGAGATTTGTTTAATGGGGAAAATCTTGCAATAGACAAAGGAAATGAAACAGAAGTAGACAGGGAAAGCCTTCAGACCATGATGCAGGTCTCATACTTGGGGGAGAAGGGAAGAATTGGGGAGGAAACTTCTCAGACCATAAATCCCAGTTCCTGCGTTGTGATTCTCCCACAGGATCTTGCTTTAAGCTCCACGCTGCATCTTTCCCCACCATTGATACCTCCAACACCACAGGGTCTGCTGTACCATATAGCCCAATTGACAGGGCTGTTTGCACCATAGCCAGACCTGCTGCAGAGTTCTTTCTTGCTTTAGGTCCTTTTGGGGGCTGGCATGCATTTGCACCACATGGTATATGAGCATATTAAGCATTGCTCCCAGAGGCCATCCCAAGAGCCCTGCCAGCAGAGAGAAGGTGGTAGCAGGGCTCAGTCTCTCTGTTATCATTTCGTAACTCTACTCTGGCCCTACAGTTGTGCATCCTAAGCAGCAAAACAAAAGTCTTTATTTGGAGTTCAAGAACTATGTGTTGATGCTAACATATGTCCCTTAGGGAGGGGGACACGGAGGGCAGGGAGTGACTGACTCTCATTCTAAGCAGTTTATCACAGCTTGCTTTCTGACCACATCCAAGCCCATCCTCCCTCAAAGAAGTCTGCCCATCCTGCCTTCTGTCCTCTTCTGTTCTGTTGGGAGCAGACAGCTACTCTGCTGCCTCGATGTTCTTTGCCATGTTGCACATAAGAGTAGAAGTCAACAGCATGGATTTGGATTTAGCTGGAGTGCGACTCCATTCTTGGGTGGCTGTGGGCAACTCATCTAAGCTACTCTATTCCTCAGTTTCCTGATCTGTAAGATGAAGATAGTAATATGAATTTCATTAGACCATTCTGAGGATTAAACGAGTTGATAACTATGAACTGGCGTGAGACACAACGTTTTTACCATCATCACTCCAAGTTGCAACAGCTGGTATAGGGGCTGTTCCATCATTCACCTATTCCCTCACTTAATTTAGAAGTTACTTGAGGGCTGGAATGGTCTGCTCCTCACATTCCCCAGGATACTCAGGACATAGTACATGATCAATACCTATTAAGAAATGGCTCTTCGATTTATACCCATTTAATAATCAGCCAAGTTTTTCCGTTCCAGGAACGCAGGATATTGGAATCCAAGAGAAATTGCAATTAGTATGTATGAGGCACTAGGTGGTGAACAGGGTAGAGGCCTCACAATGAGGTAGAGGAAGGAAGACACTACGACAAATCGAATGAACTTTATGGGTCTCAGTTTCCTCATTTGGAGAATATGTAAAGAGAATAGATACTACTGCAAGGTTGTTGCAAGGATTTTCATAAACTATGCTTAACACGGTGCCAAGGGCATAGTAAATGCTGAGCAAACTGTAGCTGCTATTATTATCATTTTAAGAATTATTGTTGAAAAAGGAAAAAGTGAACGCGCTTAGGTGTCTGGTCAAAGCCACCGACCTCACTCTGGTCAGCGCAGAGCTGGGCGGGGAGCGCTGGGCGGGGAGCGCTGGGCGGGGCCCCGGGAAGCCCCGCCCCTCCACGCAGCGTCGGAGCGCCCAGGCAACACACCGCTAGGACGCAGTGCGAGTGACGCGCGGTCTCTAGCACCCCGCGCTCTTAGCCACCCTCGGCACTGGCAAGGGTAGCTTCGGCAGTGATGACAGATGAGGACTCTGACACCCCTGTCGCCGAGGCGCAAGCCCAGGAGGAGAATGAGATGCCTATTATGCAACTGTGCGGGCTGGTGGAAGAGCTCAGGTACCCGCCGGCCGGCCTCTGAGGGCCGCCCCTCCTCAGCGTGTGGGCTGGGAGCTCGGTCCAGTGCGGAGATGACCCGAGTCCGTATTGAGCCTTGAGGAAACTGAGGCCCCCAAAGTGAGGAGAGAACTTAGCTTTGCTCTTTATTTCTGTCTCCACAGCTGCTGAGCTAACAAGGCTTGGAAAGTCCAGAGGGTAATTGGTGAAGCCAGAGCTTCAGGCTGGGTCTGGTGCCACACTGTGTGTTTACATGCTGTTCTACTGTGTGGCGGCAGGTTGGACCAAGTGACCTCTAAGCCCCTTTCTGATGCTAAGATTCTATGATAAAATTAATGAGGCAGCAGATAAAAAGGAGGCTATTAAAATTTTTTTAGTATGAGGCAACTTATACCTGAACCAGAGTATAAACGTGGAGATGGACAGCAATGGACTGGCCCAAAATTCTGTATTTTTAGCAGTCCGTTTTATATCTACTATATCAAGTACATTGGATGTCAGGATTCCATGAGGTAGTTGAGGTTAATTGTACAATTTACTGGTCTCACACAGAATATCCTGACTCAGGCAGCTGAATAGATGTTACTTCAGTATGTTTATAAATAGTTTAGGTCAGAACGGAGGTATTATTACTAATAGCTACAATCTTTCGAGTGCTTATTATGTGCCAATTATTTTGCATATATGACTTTATATAATGGCTCAGTAATCCTAGGAAGTGGATGAGGAAGCAGACACAGAAGTTAAGTCACTTTCTTAAGGTCACTGTTTAGTGCTAGGGTTGAGACTCAGGTGCAAGACTCCACAGCCTACATTGGGAACATGACATATGCTGAAAAAGAAAGATGCTTCAATTTATTGGGCTTTCTGTTGAGTCTTTTCCACTAATCTTAAAATTCAGCCAAATAGGAATTAGCTCAATAGTATACAAAAATATCAAAGCTGTTCACTCTCTCTTATATACGTATATGTACATATTTGTGTACTATACACACTGTTATATAATGTGTGTGTTATGTAAGTTAAGAAGTTAAAAGGGTAATAATCTTGGCATATACAGGATAAACCAGGTTTGTCATCTCTAGTTGTTTAAAACCCATCTACTCAAAGCTCTTCTACCATTTGTAGTAAACTTCTACTTCATCCTTGGGGTGCTGGAAATAAAAGAGCTGAGAAATAAAACAAAAGGAAAATATGAAGATTGTGGATGTGTGTAACTTCAAGAATGTAGTAATTTAGAAAAAAAGTAGTAATTCAGAAGGAATTTCACAAGTGGGTTAGGAGATACTGGAAGATGAAACTTGTAGCAATTTTCAATATACAGGCATATCTCCTTGTACTTTGCTTTACTGCATTTTGTAGATACTACATTTTTTTTTAAACAAATTGAAGGTTTGTGGCATCCCTGTATCAAGCAAGTCTGGTGGTGCTATTTTTTCCAATAGCATTTGCTCACTTTGAGTCTCTCACACATTTTGATAATTCTTGCAAGATTTCAAACTTTTTCATTCTTATGTTTGTTATGATGATTTCTGATCAGTAAAATTTGATGTTACTATTGCAAAAAGATTATGCTCCCTGAAAGCTCAGATGTTTGTTAGCATTTTTGAGCAATAAAGTATTTTTAAATTAAAGTATGTGCTCTTTTTAGACCTAATGCTGTTGCACACTTAGTAGAATACTATATAATATAAACATAACCTTACATGCCCTGGGAAACCAAAAAATTTTTGTGACGCACTTTGTTGAGATATTTGCTTTGTTGCAGTGGTCTGAAACTGAACCTGCAATATCCCCAAGGTATGCTGTAATCCCAGTGCTCAAAATTTTGTGGCTCATTAGATGTATTTACAAAATATATCAAATACTTAAATAGCATTTACTGTGCCAAAGTCTTTGCATTCCTTATTGCCACCCTAAAAGATAAGTGTTATTATTCCCATTTTACAGATGAGGAAAACTGAGGCTCTAAGAGGTTAAGTATCTTGCAGAAGGTCATACAAAACTAGTAAATGTTAAATACTAGTTATTAGGGGTTTAAATTCCTATTGGTGGAACTTACTCAGGCACCTCCTGTCTTGTAGCTATGGAAACTCGGCTCTCAAAACTGAGGTAGAGATGTTTGAGAAATATTACAATAAGCTGGAGCCCAGGGACCTGCGACCTCCACGATTATCAGAAGTTATATTATCAGGAGCAGAAATAGCACAGGTACACAAGGGAGACCTAATAATTCTTCTATTCTGTTTGTCCCTTTAGATGAAAATGGTGTTTGTTATCCATCTTTGGTGTGTCCTCTTTGGCCAAGTGGCATAAGACTTCCTCCCTGCTCTGCTTCTGATTCTTCCTTCCTCTGCAAAGATTCTCTTTCAAATGAGTGTGAAGGGAATCAGGTTCCACTCACAGTGGATTGACTCTCCCAGAGTATCTTTGTTTGAAATAATCCCCTAAAATTGGGGGACCTAAATGTTTACAAGGCCTGGCCTGCCACATATAGGAGTGAAGATCCAGTGCCCTGGTGAGGGCACTGGAGATTTCCTCCGTCATCAGAAAGGGCCAGCCAGGCAGCCTGGTGTTGCCAGAGCAGCTGATTTTTCAAGAGAAGCTGAAAATCTGGATAGTTTTAGTGGAATCTTCTAATTTTCAAATGTGGGTAATTAACTTTTAGGTTTTTTTTTAATGGAGGTATCAGGGATTGAACCTAGGACCTCGTGCATGCTAAGCATACTCACTACCATTGAACTATACCCTACCCACCTTAATTTTTTTTTAATTGAAAACTGTGTGGATCTATCTTTTGAGGACTAAACACCCATCTTCAGGTCCACACATTCCCTGGGCCACCTGCTTATGACCTTTGGCTTCAGCACATAGGAAATCTAAAATTTCTGTCTATTTGTTTATTTTTTTTCTGAACACCATGCCCCCAGATGCAATTTCTCTTATATATTCAATTCAGGAAGCACTGAGCTCTGGGCTTTCCCAGACACTGACTTGAATGCTAGTCTATAGCAGGTTCATGATTTTCCCACCCTCAAGACACTTCCCGTTATTTATTTTCAGTTTACTGTCAAGCATACACCTTTGAAGTATTTAGCACAGGGCCTTGGGTTGACTTGTGAAATGAACATCGCCTCAGGCCCAGTATCCAGAATCCTTTCACATTGAGTTTGTTCTTTCTGCTCTCATTCAGAGTGATTTCTAGCAGGCCTGAGTGGTCATTTTGATGCCCACCTTAGGTGGCTTTATTACCATGTTCTACTTGACAATGGCTTTGTTTTTCTTGTGTTACAGTTACGAGGCAGAGGTCGATCCAAATCCCGCGTAGGTATGGAACGTGCGACAGGCCTCAGTGTGGACCAAAAACTTGAGCTTGTGCAGAAGGAGCTGGAAGACACAAAAGATGAAATCAGGCACATGAGGGCAAACGCCGAACGGGACCTGCAGCATCACGAGGTACACCTCTCTATAGGCCATCCTTCCTGGGCTCCCCACTTCCGCCTCAGCAAGAAGTGCCTGTGGTATGTTCACGTGATTGTCGGTACCTTGAAAGAAACACAGTTAGGATAAGATAAACTGAAGGCCTCCCTTTAAGGGACTTAACCACCTGCCTGAGGTATTTGTTATCACAAATAACAAATTTTAAACTTTTTAAAATGAAGCATTTCAAAATACACAAATGCAGAGAATTTAGCACAGTAAACCCTTATGTGCTCAACACCCACACAACAGTTATCAACATATGGCCACTCCTGGTTCCTCCGTATCCCTACCAACTTCCCCCTCATAATTGGCCACTGGGCTATTATAAAGTGAATCTTAAACATATCAGTTATCTGTAGATGTTTCAATATATGTCTCTTAAGATATGGGTTCTTTAACAAAAACCCATAATCATAAAAACCATAAATGCCATTAAAATTTATAATAATTCCTTAATAATACAAGGGGCTTGAAGTTTAAGTCAGTGAGTTAAGTGAAAAATCTCTTGTCACCCTCTACATGCAGCACACGTGACCACGGTCCGTGTCTTGTTGGAGACCAGCACGGTCAGTGTTCCTCCTGAAAAAGAACATCACTCTTAGCTTGGTGGTCCATGGGATGAACTTGTTGACTTGCATTTGAGAGCCATGTTGTATGAAAAATAGCTATTGCTGTTCTGTTCCTAAATTTTTCTATTTACAAATGGGGTACACACAGAATCACACTCATTACCTCGAGAGGTACAGATCAGTGGACTCATGTCTCTACTGACAGAACCATCTGTACTGCATAAACCTTTCCCTCTTTCCCTCTCTCCCTCCCTCCTGCCTTTCCCGCTTTCTCCCTCTTTCTCTTTCCAAACACGTATTGTTGAATTCTAATATGTTAAAGGAGCTCAGGATGTGGTGGCATGGTCCTGACATGCTAGATTGTGTGATTAAACACCATAGTGTGGGCTAGAGTGGTCAAAGAAGACTTTGTTGAGGTGGTGGAGCTGGGCATAGGACTTGGCACGGCACTGGAAAAAGATGGTGCTTGTTTAAGGAACAGGAAAGCAAGGGCACCCTAGGTAAAGTGAATAACATGAACAAGGAAGTGGAGGTGGGAATGAACATGGCAGGTTCATGACACTGAGGAGGCTGGTGTGATTAGAGAAGAGAGAGGGTACTTTGGGGGCCGTGTTAGGAAATTGGGCTGAGTAGGGCTATGAGACCTTGAAAGCCAGGCAGAGGAATTTATCTTTGATGTCATAGAAATCAGCACCCCAGTGAGCACAACTGAGCAGGAGAGTGATGTGAAGAAAGAAGCATTTAAGGTGGAGATGTTCTGGCATGTGAAGATGATGGGGAGGGAAGAGGCTGTAGCCAGAGGCTGGCCAGTGAAGGGAGATGCTTTTGCTCCTTGGTACCCAGTGAGAAAGCCTAGACAAAGATGATTTGCTCTGCAGTTACAGATACCTTCTCATTTTATTCTTTAAAATAATGTGTGTGTATATGTGTGTGTATTTTCTTATTGAAAGACAATCTCTGTTGTAGCAAAATTTAAATGTTCAGGTAAGCTAAACGAAGAACATTTGAAAACATCCACAACCTTACCACTCAGTGGTAATTACTGTTGATTCTTGTACTGATATCCTGGAGTTTAGATTATTTTCTATGAAAATAGGAATTTCTTTATAAAAGTTATCATATTATTTTATAAACTATATTTTTCACTTAACAGTGTCTTTCCATATCAATACAGCTATTCATTTATAACATCTTTTTTCCAATTACAGAAGTATATAGTAAGAGCTTTTTTGCCCCCCTATTAATCCATCTTTCCAGACATGACTGTGGTTAATGTTTTCATGTATATCTTTCTAGGTATTTTTATGTATTACATTAATGTTATAATTTTTAATGGATAAGTAATATTTCAGACACAGAAATACATATTTCTAGAGATACCCAAGGCCCTGTTTTTGTTTGTTCTCCCCCTTTATATAGATACTTTATACAGAACTTTTTTTGAGGCATACTTTTTAATAATAACATTCATATTGTCCAATTTGTACCTTACCGGCATCTTTCTAAGACTGAGAAGAAGCATTACATATTGGGGCACAAAAAGGCCTGAGAAGTTAGGGCTCCTTAGAGGGCTACGTCCTTGAGAATTTTTGTAAACTGCGTTCGCTCTTTGTGCTGACTCCCCCAGGCTATCATTGAGGAAGCTGAAATTCGATGGGCTGAAGTTCAGAAGGCAGAGCATGATTTTGAGAAAGACATTCTAAAGACCATATCCAAGAAGAAAGGGAGTATTTTAGCCACTCAGAAAGTGATGAAGTACATTGAGGACATGAACCGCCGGAGGGTGAGTTGGCAGGCGGTTAGAGCTTAGAAAGGTGCGTAGATTCATAGACTGACGATACAAAAGTCATCCACGTGCGGCAGCCCCACCCCATTTGGTCCACCATAAATATTGCCCACATCTGCAGATTTTTTTGTACCCCCTAAAGTCTGTGTGTCTTAAAATGCAAGCTTATCAAGGCTAAAATCAATCAGGCAGATTGAAAATTCATAGTATCTCAGATGGGCTTCTCTTTTATTTTGCTATTTGTTTCAAGATATGATGTGTTATCTCGAGACAGGTGTGAGCCTATCTAATGAGTGACTGTGTGGAGTGGGACAAGTAAATCTTAACCTCTTTGAGTTCCATTATTATAAGAATGAGACATAAAATGCTCCTTTATTTCCAAAGATTTTTGTAGTATATCAGGCTTCAGATCCTGGAGATAGTTAAGATTACTTACTGTAACATGTTATAAGTAATAAAAAATTATGTAAATTACTAAGAGAATAATAGATCAAAGAATCATAAGATGATTTTGTCAGAAAGGTCCCTAAAAATACCCAAATATATGCCCAAATTATCTTGAATTTAAAAGCAATAGGAAATTTGCATGGAGCAGACCCTGTTTCCTCTGCTTCTTGGTCATGAGTGAACTACCATAGCAATACCAGTTTGAGTAGACATAAAAGACCTAAAAATAAGTGACTGAATGTTAGGGCTCAAGGTTTAGTTTTGCAGCCCCAAAACTACCAACTTTTCAAACCAGCAGGGAAGAAGAAGAGAAATGGATTAAAATTTACTTTTATTTTTTAGGATAGTATGAAAGATAAATTACGTTTGAAAAATGTTTCTCTCAAAGTTCAGAAGAAAAAGATGCTTTCACAATTGAGACAGGTATGTGTCTTTTTCTTCCTTTTTTTTGTTTTGTTTTTAAGCTAACTGTGGTAGGTAGAACCACATTCTCCCAAAAGTGTTCATGTCCTAATTCCTGGGACTGTATTACTTCAGTAGGAAGAGGATTTTGCAGATGTGATTAAGTCAACTATCTGGCGAGATGGGGGAGATTATCTTGGATGATCTGAGTGGGTCCAATGTAATCACAAGAGGGAGGCAGGAGAGTGAGAGTCAGAGAAGATGAGATGAGAGTGATGCTCTTTTAAGAGAGAGGAAGGGATCATGAACAAAGGATGCAGGCTGCCTCTGGAGGCTGGCAATGGCAGGGAAACAGATTCTCCTCTAGAGCCTCTGGAAGGAGCACAGACCTGCTAACACCTTGATTTTAGTCCAAAGAATCATTTTCAGACTTCTGACCTCATGAGCTGTAAAATAATACACTTATGTTGTTTTAAGCCCCTGAGTTTGTGGTAATTTGTTACACCAGCGATAGGAAACTAATACCATTTCTATGCTGGCAAATCTGTAGCTGGAGTTAGCTTGAATTTAAAAGGCCCTCATGACATCCTCATTGACCTTTTTGGAGAATGTGGCTAGGTGGCACAGCCAATAGTATGCTTTAATTAGTCTTTGAACAGCTGACCCTAAAACCTCCTGATTAAAGGCAGTAAGGCAGACGTGGTACAGGGCCTCTAGGATGTGATTACATAGCTCCATCCTCTCCTAGCTCAGTATTTGTATTATTATCTCAAAGATGGGGACCGATGGCATGTGCATCAGAGGTGGTCACTGACAGTGACACAGAGTTGGGGAGAATTAACATGCCTAGGGACTATTGCTTGATTGACTTGGGATCCCAACTGACTCAACAGGCCAGGGAGGCTTTAACAACATGAAGTGACTAAGGACAAATGTAAGATCCTCCACTTTGAGCCCCTGAATATTTGCACAGGTACTGCGTGTCTTAGTCGTAGAGGACCTGATGAAGTCAGCTCAGCTGGAGACGGTGCTGCAGCCTAGGCTGCAGTCAGAGAACCACGGGGCCCCTGAGAAAGGGGTGGTCTTGCTGCACTCTGCTGAGTAGCCCCACCCAGAGCACTGTGTCCCAGGGAGAGCTCCATGCTTGAAAGAATCTGCAAATTGGAGTCCACGTAGGAGAGGGACCTGGAGAGCAAGGGGAGCAGAAAAGCACGACCCAGGACTGACGGGGCCACAGAGAGAGGGCCGCTGAAGGCCGTGGCTTCTGTCTCCAAGTGCACTGGCCACTAAGGGAAGAGAATACACTGCTTGGGAGGCCCCCAGGGTGGACCTACGGCCAGAGTGGAAGGTCAGTGAAGGAGATTTAAGTTCAGTGTAAGAAAGATCGTGGCCCCAGCAGAACTGCCTCCTGATACTAAATTCCTGGTTCTCGAGCTTCATGAAAACTCAGGCATCCTGAAGTATGAGAAGGGGAGCAGTTGGATGACCTTTAACCTAAAAGCCATTGCTACACAGAAATGACACTGATGTGGTCCTGCCCTCATGAGCTCACAGACTAGCAAGGAGTGGTGATGGTGACAAAAGGCATGGATACGTAACTGCTATACCAAGGCATAGCAACAAGGACCTGAAGGTCCAGCTTGCAGGGGCTGAGCGGAGGGAGGGATTACCCTCTGGTGTTGAAGGTGGGTCGGGAACATTTGAGCTGGAGGGTGAGTCAAATTAGGGCTGAAGGAAATTGTTGTGTTGTTTTGGAGCAGAGGGAGGAAGATGCTTCCTAGGAGGTGAGTAGTGTGTAGGGGTGGGGAACAGTCCCAAGTTTGGCGCTTGCCTACCACAAATATAAGGTGGCATAGACCAAGTAGGGCAGGAATGTGGTAATATACCTGTGGTGCAGAAATGTCAAGTGATCAAAGGAAGGGAATGTATGGGCTGCTTGTCCTGGTTTTTCCAGGTTAAAAACAACTTTTAAATGGCCTCCTTTCTTCACAGCCCTGTTTAGGCACTACCTCCTGGGGGAAGCCTCCCCTGACCCAGCCTTCCATTCTCCCCTGGCCTGGCTGAGGGGCTTCTGTTCGCCCTCTGCCCCTGTGTGTCCCACTGCAGCACGCTGTGACCTGTCTGTGAACTGTCATTGAGTATGTGTTCCTTGAGGCAAGGGAGCATCGTATTTACTCAAATCTCTATCACTAGTGCCTAGTACCATGCCTGGCACCAAACAGGTCCCCAGTCCACATTTGATGAATGACTGAATGATAACTGGCTTCCAGAGTCTCACCCAGAATTGCAAGGTGTGAGCCATGCATTCAGAAGTCACAACCTCACATCATTTCTTTCTTTTTTTTTTTGACCTATAGAAGGAGGAGGTGGGCGAGGCCCTCCACGATGTTGATTTTCAGCAGCTGAAGATCGAGAATGCTCTGTTTTTAGAGATGATTGAAGCAAGGAATCAAGAACTGATCCAACTGAAGCTGGCATCCGGAAACACCCTGCAGATCCTGAATGCCTACAAAGTAAGATCTGCACCAATGCCCAAGTCCGCAAGGCTTCCCGTGCCCACCTTTCCGGCCACAGTGCACCACCGTGGTTTCACTGAGAGCTTAGATGTCCTTTACCTCCTGTTGCTTTCTGATTTCTCCTGACAGAGCCACATCTTCTGAAACAGTCGAAATGTCCCCACACCCTGGCTGTGCATTAGAACCACTCAAGGAGCTTTTTCTTTTTTTAAAGATAGGCACTTTAGTCCAACCCTGACCAACTGAATTAGTGGTGAGGGCCATGTATCTTTTTTTTTAAACTCCCCAGAGAATTTTTATGCACAATGAGTTTTGAAAACTAACCACATTTAGGACTCTGCTTAATTTAAGTGTGTAATATGCTTAAAACCCTGCAAAGGAAATCATCTTAGCTATAAATCAGAAAGCTACTAAATAATTCCACATCCACACAGAACCCTTTTGGAGAGAGTCACTATTAATAATTAAGCAGGGACTATAGGCATGAACATGGTCTGTCCCCAGCAGACCAGACTGTCTGGTCACCCTGCTAGCAACTATCTGATGCAGTGGTCAGCTCACTGGGATCCAGGTATCCTGCCTGCTGGCTTGTGAGAGAGGTTCTGGGACTTTCTCAGAGTTTCTCTTGGTAAGTGGTGGGTTGGGATTTGGGTCCCAGTGTGTCTGGCTACTTTGCAGGTGACCAGGGTCCTCTCCTCCCCTGCCACATAGGCACCAGGATTTTGAAAATCTAGGCAGCAGTGAGAAGGGCAGGCCCAAGTTCCTGGACAGTCCTGCTATTCTCTTACTTAATAAAGAGCTGTCTGTCTATCCTTCCTGTTGTTCTGAGCAGCATCTTTGCTCAAAACTTGCTGTATTGTTCTATTTCAGAGCAAGCTACACCGAGCAATGGAAATGTCCATCAATCTGGACAAGGAGTTCTTGCTGAGAAATGAGTTACTCAAAAAAATTGAAAAAGAAACCCAACAAGTAGAGGAGGTAGGAGAGGGTAAAACATGCTGTTTCTGGTGTTTTTCTCCTTCTATCTACAAGGGCTCGAGTCAGCATCCACCACTATCTAGGCCACCTTGGTTTTTGCCTAGAAAAGCCTAGATCATAAAAATCAAAATAGCTCTGGCCATCAAAGGAGAAAGTGGCACCTGGAGACTCACATTCCATGGTGTTGCATTTTACTACTCAGAATCTGGAGTCAAAAGTCATGAAATCATCTAGAAATCACTTAGAGTCCAAATAACCCTTGAGAATTCCTTAAGTGACCCATAAGGTACCAAATTCAAAGTGTTGTGTCTACAACCTCACAGAAAATGTATAATGCAGGTAATAATGTAACTAACTGGTATGAAAAAAAGAACACATGCCAAATTATAGTGTTCTGTGTAAAGGAGAGAAAGCTCTTTAAGCATATAACTCTCAGTCAGTATAGCAGATGCTCGGCTGGCAGACCTGTGACCTCTGTCCTGAGCCTGCTCCAGGGCCTGTGGTCACCATGCGAAAACATGTGTAGTGGCATCTGAGCTCGCTGCATCCACATGGGGATGTAGCGCGCCCGTTATTTTGCTGAACACGTTGAGTTGAATTTCCGCAAGTTAAATGTACCTAGGAGATGACTCAGAGGGGACTTTTGGGGGAGGTTGGGGGAAAATGAGTCCTGGACTGTAGTCAGAAAGCCTGGCATCAGGTTTCGTGTTGCCAGTCTCTAGCCTTGAACAAGCCTTTGAACTAGACAGAACCCCACATCTGTGACAAGGACATCACAGCCCTTGCCGTGGTGATCAGATAGGATGATGCTTCATCAGCCTCTGAAACCATGAGTTCAGTTATTAGTGTCGTTGTCTTGAATGAACCTGAAGTGTCCCCGGCAGCGGGTGTGGCCCAGACCTGCCTACAATGGCCCAAAAGCCACGGGATTACCGCATCTGACTCAGTTTTGCCGTGGCAGTGTACCCTTGATGGGGAACAAGTGCCCTTTGCAAAAAAGTTGGTCTCAGTACAGTGACAAAGTTGAAGCAAAAGTCTGTGTGCTCTCTCCATGAAGGATTCCTGGGGTACTTATTTGTTTGGCTTGATATTTATTAGATTACAAGTAAGACATGAAATCAATTTTTAAACGCCTGGCATTCACTGCTTAGTATATTATCATTTTCTTAAGTTTTTAAAAACAGCTCTGTTGGGATGATTCATATATCATATTCACCCATTTAAAGAGTACATTTTAATGATGTATGGTATATTCACAGAGTTGAATCAGCACAATAATTTCAGAACATTTTCACCACCCCAGAAAGAAACCTTGTACCTATTAGAAATCCTACATTTCACCTCACCGCACCCCCACCCTCCAGCCATAGATGACTACTAATCAGCTTTCTGTCTCTGTGTGGATTTGCCTTTTCTCAGCCTTTCGTATAAAAGGGATCATACAATATGGTCCTTTAACTTTAGTATTTTTCAAGATTCATGTTGTAGCATGTGTGGGCACTTGTTTCTTTTTTATGGCTGAGTAATATTTTCTAATATGGATATATCATATTTTGTTTATCCATTCATCAGTTTGATGGACATTTGAGTTGCTTTCATTTTTTGGCTGTTATGAATAGTGCTGCTATGAACATTCACATACAAATTTTTGTGTGAATGGTTTATGTATTCTTTCCTCTTGGGCATTGTGGCTTATGTATATGGTACCTCTGTGTTTAACATTTACAGAAGCTGCCGAACTGGTTTGCAAAGTGGCTGCACCATTTTATATTCCAATTGTGTGAGGGTTCCAGTTTCTGTACATCTTCACCAGCACTTGTTATTTTTAGATTTTTTTAAATGCTGTCCTAGTGGGTATGAAGTGGTATTATTGTGGCTTTACTTTGAATTTCCTTAATGATTAATGACATTGAACATCTTTTCATATGCTTATTGGCCGCTTATCTGTCTTTTTGGGGAGAAATATCTATTCAAAGCCTTTGTCCAATTTTCAGTTGAGTTATTTATCTTTTTCAGGGGGGAGGTAATTAGTTTGTTTATTTATTTATTTATTTTTTAACAGAGACACTGGGGATTGAACTCGTATGCTCTCTACCACTTGAGCTATACCCCCCCTTATTTGTCTTTTTATCATTGAGTTTTAAGAATTTTTTATATATTCTGGATTCAGATCCCTTATCAGGTATATGACTTGCAAATATTTTCTCTCGTTCTTTGGGTTTTCTTTTCACTCTCTTGATGGTATTTTTTGCAGCACAAAAGTTTTCATTTTGATGGAGTCCAGTTTATCTGTTTTTTCTTTTGCGCTTGTGCTGTTGGTTTTATAGCTCAGAAACCACTACCTAACTCAATATCATGAAGATTTACTCTTATGTCTTCTTTTAAGAGTTTTATAGATTTTAAATTTATGATTCATTGTGAGTTAACTTTGTAAATGGTGTTAAATGGTGTGAGGAAAGGGATCCAAAAACTGAAAGAAGAAAGAAGATGCACTATGTTCATAACATTTGTTAAATTAAGCTTCCTATTTACTATTTGTGTGGTTCTCCCCATTTCTTTTGTGAATTTGAGTTACCATCTAGTGTTATTTTCTTACTCAAATATAGCTTCATTTCAGCTTGCCTCCTTTGTGCTGTTATTGTCAAATATATTACATTTTTATATGTTATAGGTCCAATATAAAATAATATACATATTGTTTTATGAAATTGCTTTTTAAGTCAGTTAAGGGAAGGAAAATATGCATTTATACTGTCTTTTATAATTACCTACATAAGCACCTTCACTTGTGCTATTTGTTTTATCAGATTCAAATTACTGTCTGCTGTCACGTGTTTTCAGCCAGAAGAATTTCTTGTAAGACAGGTCTGCTAGCAATAAATTCTCTTAGTTTTTGTTTATCTGAGAATGTCTTTATTTTTCCTTCATTTTTAAAAAATAAACTTTAAATTTTAGAACTGTTTTAGATTTACAGGAAAATTGTGAAGCTAGTACAGACAGCTCCCCAATACCTCATACCCAATTTCCCCTATTATTAGCTGCTTACATTAGTAGAATACATTTCTTAAAATTAATGAACCTGTATTGATATGTTATTATTCAAATGTAACATAATGTATTTTATTCATATATCTTTAGTTTTTAACCTAATTTTTTTTCTCTTCCAGGACCCCATTCAGGGTAATACATTTAGTGTCATGTCTCCTTAGGTTCCTCTTGGCTGTGACAGCTTCTCAGACTTTGTTGTTGAGACCTTGACAGTTTTGTAGAGTGCCGGTCAGTTATTTTGTAGAATGTTCCTCAATTAGGATTTGTTTAATTTCTTTTCCCGTGATTACATAGGGTCACATGGTTTTGGGAGGAAGACTCCAGAAGTAAAGTACCATTTTCATCACATCCTATCAGGGAGCTTCCTGTCAACATCACTTTTCACTGTTGATGTTAACCTTGCTCACCTGGCTGAGAGAGTGTTCCACAGGTTTCTCCACTGTTATTTTACCATTTTTCAGACTTACTCTTTGGAAGGAAGTTCCTGTGTGCAGCCCACAATTAACAAGTAGGGAGTTATAAAGTTTTGGAATTCTTCTGTATGGGAGATTTGTCAATTCTCCCCCATTTGTTTATTTTTTAAATTATTTATTTGTATCTGTATCAACTCATGAATGTTAATTTTATGAGTTGGGTTATAACCTAACACTATTTATTCTGTTGCTCCCATTGTTCCAGTTTGGTCATTGGGAGCTCTTTCAGTTGGCTTCTGTGTTCCATTGACATATCCCCATTTTTGTGGGTTCAGGGGTGTGTGTGTGTGTGTGTGTTTGTGTGTGTGTGTGTGTGTGTTTTGAGCACCTCTTTCCTTTCTGGAACTAGAAGATGTTCCAGGCTCTTCTTGTATATTTCCTGCCCAGTCCTAGAATCAGCCATTTCTTCCAGGCGTCCTGGGTCCTTTTATTTGAGATTAATACTGGAAACCAAGATCTGAGTGTGCTCATTGCTTTCTTTCATTTTTTAAAGATAGTTTTGCTGGATGTAAGATTCTTGGTTGATTTTTTTTGTTTTCCTTTGAGCACTTAGAATATATCGTGCCACTGCCTTCTGGCCTCCATTTTGTTTCTTATGAGAAGTCAGTTGTTAATCTTATTTGGCTTCCTTCATATGTGATGAATTATTTTCTCTTGCTGCTTTCAAAATTTTCTCTTTGCCTTGTCAGTCAGAATTTTGGGTATGATGTATCTGGGTGTGGATTTCTTTGCCCTAATCCTAGTTGGAGTTTGTTGAAGTTCATGGATATATAGCTTAATATTTTTCATCATGTGTAGGATGTTTTCATGTTGGTGCACTTAGGGGTATTCCACATTTCTTTTTTTTAACATTTTTT